ATTGTTTCGGAAAACCAATCGGCTTTCCTACCCGGCCGCGCAATTGCTGATAATGTTCTTGTTACACATGAGATCCTCCACTACTTGAAGAACTCGGAAGCCAAGAAACATTGCTATATTGCGGTTAAGACCGATATGAGCAAAGCCTATGATAGGCTCGAATGGGATTTCATACGACTTGTCTTTCAGAAGCTGGGCTTTGATAGCATCTGGACTAATTGTGTTATGGAGTGTATCATGACAGTCTCCTACTCCTTTCTTGTTGCTGATGCAGCCCTGGGGCATGTTAAGCCCCAACGAGGTATCCGTCAAGGTGATCCTTTGTCTCCGTACATCTTTATCTTATGCGGAGAAGTACTATCGAGATTATGTAGAACGGGTCAACAGAACGGAGAACTCACGGGGGTCAAAATCGGCCAACACTGCCCAAGGATAAACCACCTCCTCTTTGCAGACGATACTATGTTCTTCACCAAAGCTACCCCGGAATGCTGCGTGTATCTCGCCTCAATCCTCAAAGATTACGAATCAGCCTCTGGTCAACTTATTAATACCGCAAAATCTTCCATCTCCTTCTCTTCGAAAACACCACAGGAGACCCGAGTCCGGGTCAAAAACACCCTTGGTATCGAAAAAGACGGTGGTGTTGGTAAATACCTTGGCCTCCCAGAGCTATTCTCCAGAAGGAAGCGTGATGTCTTCTCATCGATCGTCGATAGAATAAAAATCCGTGCTGCCTCTTGGTCGACTCGTCGACTTTCAACCGCGGGAAAGCTCACAATGCTGAAATCGGTACTCTCCGCAATTCCGACCTATTCTATGTCTTGTTTCCCTCTCCCGGTTGGTCTTTGTGATCAGATTCAATCCGCACTCACCCGCTTCTGGTGGGATCAAGACCCGACCATTAGGAAGATAAGCTGGATCGCCTGGGATGGTCTCACCCAACATAAAGACCAAGGAGGCTTGGGTTTCCGGGACATAAAAGACTTCAATGCTGCAATGCTGGCCAAAAACGTTTGGCGCCTACTAACCTGTCCAACGAGCCTCCTAGCGCGCCTCCTATTGGGGAAATACTGCAGGAATACCCCCCTCCTAGCTTCTACTTGTCCTTCCTCAGCTTCTCATGGCTGGAGAGGAATCATTTTGGGATGCCAAGTTCTTAAACTACAGCTGGGGAAAGCGATAGGTAATGGTAACACAACAAAGGTCTGGACCGACTCTTGGATCTCCCCAACGGGTCTTTCCCTTCCGTTTGGACCACCAAAGGAAGCAGATAGAGACCTCTATGTTTGTGACCTTCTGCGTAGAGGTACCGGCGAATGGAATCGCGATTTGGTAATGTCCATTCTTCCTGATTTGGCACATGACATTTTCCTCATTAAACCTAGCTTGCTTGGAGCGGAAGATACCCACTGTTGGCTCAAAACAAAATCCGGTATTTATAGTGTGAAATCTGGCTACTATGCCTTGAGGGAGGTAAAGGGTATGAGCTCCACGACAAACCCTCAACATCAATCTTTCAACTGGTATAAATTCGTATGGAGGGAGGAGACATCCCCAAAATTTGAATTGTTCCTATGGAAGCTTTGCCGCGGAGCTCTACCGCTAGGAATCAATCTCCAACACAGAGGCATCGATACATCTGGTCAGTGTCCACATTGCCTGGCTCCAGAGACTGAGATGCATCTCTTCTTCCAATGTCCCTTTGCAAAGCAGGTATGGGACGCTTCTCCCTTCTACAGACTACCAGACTTCTCCAATGCGGCAACACTCCATGATTCCTTCTTAATCATGTCGACACTAAGATGCCTACCGCCGACGGGCCTCTCCACCAGTCTAGCTCCATGGATTATGTGGGGCATTTGGACCTCTAGAAATCTTTTACTCTTTGAATGCAGGTCTATTGCTGGGAAAGAAACACTCTACAACTCCATTTCAGCGGCCAGAGAATGGCTTAGTGCACAATCACGATCAGCGACAATTCCGCGGAGCCCCATCCTACTACCTCTCTCACCTCCACCCGATGTTTCTACACTGACTTGTAATACCGACGAGGCTTGGACGACGACACGCAGAGCTGGGCTGGGATGGTTTTTTCAGACCGTAGATGAAGGCGTAGTGGTGGGTTCTCGGGTGTGTGAGCATGTATCGTCCCCCCTCATGGCGGAAGCGCTGGCTATGAGGGACGCCATCCAGGATGCAAAGCGCATATCACTTCTCACGGTCTGGTTTCGTACCGACTCTCAGGAGCTCGTCAGAGCTATTAACTCGAAGTCATATCCGGTGGAGCTTTTCGGGGTTCTCATGGACATCGAGTCTTTATCTTCTACTTTTATCTCTTTCTTTGTTTCTTTTGTACTAAACCTGTTGCTGATTCTCTCGCAAAGTCTGCTCTCTACAATCTCACCGATACTTTGTACTAAACCTTTCCGCAAGTATTAATCAATTTGTTGTTCAAAAAAAGAACACAATAACGTCACGCAAGTGTTGAAAATTTCACACATTTCACAGCAGTTAGATTTTTTTAATGTTAAAATAATCGCAAAAACTGTATTTTCGTAAATGATTTTGTAATATTAATACGTAATGCAAAAAATACAAAATATGTTTAAAAATGAAACAAGTGAACAAATTTTAGATTTCCATAGATCTATATTATTAAAACAGAAGAACTTTTTCTGAGGTGTCTGTTTTTTAAAGTATTTACCTATCACTACCACTGAATTATTTAAAACAAAAGCGTTTGATTAAATTATGTATTTTTGAATTTTCTTTTATTTAAATAGCAGAAAACATTTTTATTTAAAAAATCCTTCATAAAACATTTAAGCAAACTTCAATTGTTATAATTTAGTTATTGAAATGGATCCAAGATATGCAAAAATCTCAATACCTAAGTATGCTTAATCAACAATATCTCTCAACTTCCATATTAAGAGGAATGTTGTTATTTTGCAAAATTAATAGCTTAATGTAGTTGACGACAATGATGATGATTGATTCGACTATAGCTATACAAATTTAGCTGCGAGTAAGTTGGTTATATCTGTAAAGTTGGTACTGTATATTTTTTTGTTGTACTTAAATTTGTTGTAGCTGTAAACTGTAAGCTGTATATATTTCATATAAAATATGTTATGTATATAAAAAATAATTCTTTTTGTATCAACTAAAATAATTTTTATTAATATTTTTAATAAATTATCAAAATTTATTGTTATTTAAAATCTGATATATAAATAATATTTGTTATTTAAAATATTTCATTAATTTTAAAAACATCCCAAACTATTTTAAATATTTATAGATTTTTTTATTATGATTATTTAATTTATGTGATATTTTAGATATTTAATTTTCATTTTACAGTTTCTACAGCATATAAAACAAAGATGTAAGGATTTTACTTAAAATACATAAGAAAAAAATTTGCTGTAATATTTTCATGTAGTTTTAAAAATTAGGGTAAAGCATGATTCGTAAAAGTTAACAGAAATTTGTTGTAGGTTTAATTTTTCAACAACGACATAATTGATAAAGTTTAGTGGTTTAAAACAAAATAAAGCTAAAGTAGAGAGATAAATTCTAATCAATCACCTTTTATGTAAACTTCACGATTGAATTGAATTGACCACCATAGTTGGACCATCCTATCTGACCACCACGGTTAATATGCAAACTTCACCATTTAGTTTTTAACAAAATTATTAGCTCAACGTAGTTGACCACTACAATTGTATATTTCTATAAAATATTAATGAAACATTAATCATTAGTAATATTTATACACACGTTTTTTTTCTAAAGTAATATAAAACTATTAGTTTATAACAAAATATATTTATCATGTTATTCCCTAAACATTTTGAAAACCAAACAGAAGATCAACTCAGAATATATTGATTAACTGGTTTGATCATTTTAACCCGTTTAACGGGTTTTTAATTTTTATTGTATCTTGTATATGTATATATACCATATGCTTTAAAACAAAAGAATTCTAAGTGAACTTAAATTATTGACATACATAAGATTAACATTCAATCACCATGTATATTTGTTCTCACAACAAAATTTTAGATCTTATATTAATGAAAAGTTAGAAACATATAATATTTAGATGAGAAGTGGGAATAATACTTAAAGTTTTTTTGTATATAGAAAAAACTATGAAATAATATGTGAAAACTGAAAAGAAAGAAAAATAATTAATCACTAACAGCTTTATAGCAAAACTATTAGAACAGTTAAAAGACTACAAACTATGTTTTAATTTTACAGAATTTGAGATTTTTAATTTGGATTATCGACTTTTACTAGGTTTTCTATGTTTTTTTCAAATACAGTTTTTATCGTCCTGAATCATGGATTTTACAGGATTTTTCATTTTTTCTCAAATCTAGATTGACTAATCTGACCAGTTTAACAAGTTTTTAAAATTTATTGTATATTAGATATGTATATATACCATGCTTTAACGAAAAGATGAAGTCTATGTGAACTTAAATTATTGACATACATAAGATCAACATTCAAATAACTATATATATTTTTTCTTTAATAAAATTTCAAGTTATCGGTTTTACTGTATTTTCAATTTTTTTTTTTTAAATTTCAAACTTTAAACTGAATTAAACTCAATTTATTAGATGAGTCATGGTCATATTGTTTTGGACTGGTTAGTTCAGTATGATTTTTAAAACCTTGCAGTGTTTATGACATAAAATATCTAGCGCGTATCAAAATCTAGTTGTAATTAATCTCCTAACTAAACCTTGATTTCCATATACTAGTAATTAATTGCCAATTAGCGATCTCCTTTTTGCAAAACAAGCAAGAAATAAAATAAAATAAAAATATGATTTTATGTTGACCGTTGATTAGACGTTACAATAAAGCATTCTATTTTCCTTTATGATGCATACAGAAATATATTAATTAATTTGTCTTTAACTTCCTTCCCATATGAACTTTTTGTATTTTTTTTTCCCTGATGACTTGTTTGATATGAAACCCACAGACACATTTTTGATTAATCATCCGTCTCTGAATTCTTTTAGTTTACTTGTTTTCTTCCACACAAACAGCCTTGATATTTTGAAAGCTTCAGGCACCACCAAATCTTTGTTTGCTGCGCAAACGCAATCTCAATTGGTAGGAAAAAAACGAGAGAGACACAAGTGACTTACTTGGCAATTAGCTAAGACTAGGCATATAATTTTCTTTTCTGGTTTTGTAAGGAAAAGGTTTTACAGAGAGATCTGAAGTTTTGTTTGCATTAAGTCTATCATCATAAGTCAGGTAATCTGGGATTTTGGATTCAGTGATCTGGGTTTTGCTCGGAAGTTCATTTCACGATCTGGGTCTCCGGTTCTCCGCTTCGTTTTTAAGTAATTTAGGAACAGTGTTGGGTAAAGTTTGGTGCTTTATGGTTCTGTCTCCGGTTACGAGTAATTTAGGACATTGAAACAAAAGAATAAGCAACTGTTGTTTGGTAAAGTTTGGTGCTTTGAGGTTTACTGTCATACTCAAGCTCAGGAATTTTTGATGGTATTTTTGATTTAGATGGCAACACCTGTACAGCCTCCTACGGCGGTGGAGGTGGTGGTGCCACCGTCTCCACCTTTGTCTCCGGGTGGTAATGCTGTTTCTCCGACGAGAGAGCCCATTGATGGCAACTCACCGGAGATTCCAAACCCTCCACCTCTGTCTACTCCTCCTCCTCCGGCGACTCCTTTATCATCTCCACCACCAGAAACTTCTCCCTCACCACCTCCACCTATCGGAGCTCCTCCACCTACTCCCACATCACCTGACCCACCACCTGAGAACTCTCCACCTCCACGAAATGATCAGCCTACCATTTCACCACCATCATTTCCGCCACCGGAAGTATCTCCTCCTCCTCTTCCTCCCACATCACCTGACCCACCGTTAAACCCACCACCATCATCACCTGTGACCTCTCCCCCTCCACCTCCACCACGTGATCAGCCTGCCATTTCTCCACCATTATTTCCTCCACCGGAAAGCTCTCCTCCTCCTCCACCACCAACATCACCTGAGAGCTCTCCTCCACCACCATCATCACCTGCCATTTCACCACCATTACTTCCACCACCCGAAAGCTTTTCCCCACCACCAGCTTCAGACCCACCTAGAAATCCACCTCCATTAGTCCCACCGTTACATTCATCTCCACCTCCCTCATCACTTCCTCCTCCACGTCCTTCCACCTCCCCACCACGCTCAGAACGTCCTCCTCCTCCTCCACGGGATCCAGAGCATGCTGAGCAATATCCTCCTCCTCCTCCGCACTCTGAACGTCCTGCTCACTCACCTCCTCCTCATCCTCCAACGGGGAATATTCTCCCACCTTCCAAGCCAAGTTCAGCTCCCTTACCTTCTAACTCTTCTTCATCACCAACATTCCCCTCACCACCATTAATTCCATCTCCTCATCAAAAATCTGTACCAAACTCAGGCAATCCACCTCAAGAAAACAACCTTACTCCTCCTGTGACAAATAATTCCACCAACTCAGGTTTTAGTACAGTAGCTGTCGTGGGTGTGAGTATCGGGTTGGTCCTTGTTCTGCTTAGTCTTATTGGAGTTGTTGTCTGGTGCTTGAAGAGACGGAAAAAGAGGGCTTCTCCCATTGGTGGTGGCTATGTCATGCCATCTCCTATAGTTTCTTCACCAAGATCAGGTATATTTTACAGCTAACCCTTAATCTCTTTCTTACATTGACTTAGCAAAGCATGGCTGAAAGAACTCTCCTTAGTATGTATTGATGGTTCTTATCTCAACTCGAAGTTTATGGTCATCAAGACACTTTGTGTTAGAATTCACAGTTATGGATATTGCTATGTTGTTCAGATTCAACGCCTTCGAAGACACACTCGTCTGCTCCTCTAGTTGGAAACCGTTCTAGCAACCGGACATTCTTTTCACAACCAGAACCTGGTGGCTTTGGTCACTCGAAGGAACTTTTCTCGTACGAAGAACTTGTCAAAGCAACAAATGGATTCTCAGATGAGAATCTATTGGGTGAAGGCGGGTTTGGTTGTGTATATAAAGGGGCTTTACCAGATGGAAGAGTGGTGGCTGTGAAACAGTTAAAAATAGGTGGAGGACAAGGTGACAGAGAGTTCAAAGCTGAGGTTGAGACCATAAGCAGAGTACATCACAGGCATTTGCTTTCTTTGGTTGGATACTGCATTTCTGAGAACAGAAGATTGCTGATCTATGATTATGTTCCTAACAACAACCTTTACTTCCACCTTCACGGTAAGCGAGATTTTAAGAATCACAGATTAATACTGTTACTTAAAACTTATCTTACTATGTTTCTTGTGGTCTTTAGCTGCAGGAACTCCGGGTCTGGACTGGGCAACGCGTATTAAAATCGCTGCTGGTGCAGCTCGTGGATTAGCTTATCTCCATGAAGATTGTAGGTTGCTGTGAATCAAGTTCTCTCTGATGTTGCTTATGTTCATGGTTCTTGGGGGTTTATTTGAATGGTAAAATTTGACAGGTCATCCTCGTATCATACACAGGGACATCAAATCATCCAACATTCTTTTAGATAATAACTTTCACCCTCTGGTAATACACATTCATCTGCTCTTCTTGATTTGCAAGGCTGCTGATAATTAAGATCATGAGTTTTAGTAACAATTGATGTCTGATTCTTTAGGTTTCTGACTTTGGTCTTGCAAAGCTAGCTCTAGACTCTAACACCCATATTACAACTCGTGTTATGGGAACATTCGGGTACGTGCTGGTTAAGTTTCCATATAATATGTAATGTTGCAATCTCTGCATCTAATACAAGTATTCGTAAATTTATTTCCAGCTACATGGCTCCTGAATATGCATCAAGTGGAAAATTAACCGAAAAATCAGATGTCTTCTCCTTTGGGGTTGTTTTACTTGAGTTAGTCACTGGACGTAAGCCTGTTGATACATCACAACCTTTAGGAGATGAGAGCCTTGTTGAATGGGTATGGCATAAAATAAGCATTTTGAGAATGAAACTCTTTTCTTTATTCCAATGTGTTTTTTTTTTTGTGTTGAATGTTTCAGGCTCGTCCTTTGCTTAGTCATGCCATAGAAACAGAAGAGTTTGAAGCTTTAGTAGACCCCAAGCTGGGAAGAAACTACGTTGGGGCTGAAATGTTTAGAATGATTGAAGCAGCTGCAGCTTGTATACGCCACTCAGCTGCAAAGAGACCTCGAATGAGTCAGGTACATACATGTTGATCTTCTTACAAGATTGAGAGTCTCATAAACGAAAGGTCTTTTAACTTACAAATGCTTTCGACAGATTGTGAGAGCTTTTGACAGTCTAGCTGAGGAAGATCTAACCAATGGGATGAGACTAGGCCAAAGCGAGATCATCAACTCAGCTGAGCAGTCAGCAGAGATCAGATTGTTTAGAAGAATGGCTTTTGGAAGCCAAAATTACAGTACAGATTTTTTCACTCATGATATTTACAATAGTAGAGACGAAAACGTGTAAATATCAGAAATAAAACTCACTGGAAATTTGATTTGGGCAAGAAAGAGATCTCAATGCAGAACCTTTCTTGATTACCACGAAACCACATAACATTGAGAATAAAGGATAATGAGTTTAGGACCTCAAATGAAAAGTCCTCTGGTTCGTAAACTAGGGAAGAACAGATGAGAACAGGACAGCGAGTGAGTGTAGAAGAGGTTTCATCTTCTTTACAAGAGAAGTCACCCTCCTGCATCTATCTTGGCTTTTGTGATGTAACTCATGTCCACTCAATGTTATGCTAATAATAAATCAACAAGCTTCTTGTCATGTCATCATCACTAAACTTTTCATTGCGTGTGTCATATATATAAGATGAGAATAGACATATTTGCCCTTGTATGAAGCACACATTCATGTTGAGGGATAGTATCAATGGGAACAAGGATTTAAACAGCTACAGTTCTTTTGCCGTCCAAGGTTCCTAAACATGCCTGTAAATATGTCTCAATCGCCACGTGTTATATGCACATCATTCTATGTACTACCTCTGTAATCGTCGGAAGTCTTTTTTTCTTTGTCTATCAGAGTAATGGAAGAAGAGTGTGGTGCATTTGCAGCAGACTGTGTTGTCCTTACATGCTGCTGCCAATGCCTTGTGTTACAAGTCACTTGCTTTGTCTTGTTCAAGGTTCCACGTAAACTTGGGCAGAAGATTAAGAAGTTTGTGAAGAGAAGATGTGGAAAAACCTTGATACAAACAAGGGAGGAGGATGTCGTGAAAGAGGAGCATTGGTATGGAAATAGGATTGTCTTTGAAGAAGGCTCATCAAGATCTAATTGCATTGAAGAAGAGATTGAGAGAACGTTGCAAGAACTGTCGATGAAGGAAGAGTTCAGTTTTGGAAGCTTCTGGCGCGATGAAGATTCTTCTGACATTCTAGATGTCGTCGTATAGCGAAACAGCAGAAATCAATACATATTTTCTGTGCCTATAGCATTCATGTTGTGTTCTTGATCAAAATATCTTTCTTGAAAGACAATATGAAGCTAAGTAACTAGGACAAGGCTGTAATATTTTACCGCAATAACCAGAGTTTACACTTTCATGCTATTGATAACCAGTTTTTTTTTTAGTAACACGTGATTTATTAATATTGGTTTGAGTTTACAAAGTCACTGTGAAGTTTCTAAGTTATAAACCTTGGAACATAGTAATGAAACTTAAAAAAAAACATCATCTTGAATTGGTTGCTTAACCAATTTGTCTGTCACTTTGTTCCCATCTCTGCTTATCCACTGGAATTGCAGCTGATAAAATTTCCCCTTCCACCAAATAATCTCACGTTTCCACCAGATAACCAGTTAAAAGACAATGTTCTTTTAGTCTTGTAAATGATATGGTGATTTTGAACTCATAAGCACAAAGATATTTGTAATACCACTAGGCTGCGAACAATGTTGGTTATTTCGTATTTATTTACATACTGCAAAGTAGATGTTAATACACGCGAAACCAACAAATGCAGGTCTCACAGATGTCTCTATCACCATTGTCAATAGCTACACAAAGAGATTGGTAATGATCCATTAAGAAAGTTTCAAGAAAATAAATGTAAAACAAGGTTTTTTTCTTTACGATGTGGACAAGAAAAACATACTACATGTCAGAACTCATCTGGTTCATTGCGGTTTAACTAACACCTCTTCTCTCTCTCTCTCTAAAAATAGGCAAACAGGAGAAATCGGAAAAGAAAAGAGGAGAAAGAAAGAAAGAAAGAAAGAAATGCCGTCGCAGATCCTACCAATCTCATCAAATCTTGTTGTTCCCACTAAACCCTCCACGGAGATGATGTTCAAGCCTATGATCTACGACTCAACAACAACAACAACAACCACCCTCCTCGATGATGACGACCACTCCGTCAAGCCTCTCCTCTCCCGCGCCTCCAGCTTCAACGGTGAATCAACCGGCTTGCATCAGAACAGACGTCGACGATCCAACAGCGATAACTGTCTCTCTGCCTCCGCCGGCGATGATACCAATCAACAAACTATCGGTCAGGAGGTTAGCCACGCCGCCGCCGAGACTTTCTTGTTGACTCGTCTCTTCTTCACGCTCCTCACCTATCTTGGGTACTTATTTTCCTTTAAGATCCAATAAAAAGATGATCTTTCTCTTAACATCTTACCCCCCAAAAAAAAAAGAAAGATACTTTCGTTGTTGGGTTTGTATAGATCATTCATTGATTTGATTACTGATCAAAAGCACTGTTATTCAGGGTAGGTTATAGATGGATCACGAGGTTTCTTGCTCTTGGTTTCTATGCTTTTCTTCTTATGCCTGGATTCATTCAAGGTTCGTTGACTTGGGATCTAGTTTCGGTTCTCTCTCTCTCTTTGATCTAAAGATGGTAACTTTACAAGTTTCATTGCTAAAAGGTTCGGATTTTTTTACTTTGCAGTCGGATATTACTATTTCTTCTCTCCTCACGTCCGTAGAAGTATTGTTTACGGTGATCAACCAAGAAACAGGTCTTTATCCTTTCCTTGTTATCCACTTCTGTTCATGTTTAGATCCAACTAGTAGATGTTTTTTTTTATCTATTTAAGTGAGTTTATGGTTTCTTCAGGCTTGACTTGTATCTACCTAAGAACTCCAACGGTCCTAAACCTGTTGTGGCGTTTGTCACTGGTGGAGCCTGGATTATTGGGTGAGTTTACTACCCCCAATGGATACTAATTTCATCATATTGTGTAGAGGAAGAGGAGGCAGAACCGAAAATCTCTTACAGAATGTCTTGTGTTTGATACAGTTATAAGGCGTGGGGTTCTCTGTTAGGACAACAGTTATCAGAAAGAGATATTATTGTCGCATGCATTGATTACAGGTAACTATTTTAAATTCTGTCACAAGGCCTACAATGAATGTGGTGGTGTCCTCTTCTCATTTTTTCATCAGCTTTCATTTACAGTTTGTTTGTGAATAATGTCTTCATTTACGATATCTCCATCTCATTGGCAATGTCAGGAATTTTCCTCAGGGATCAATTAGTGACATGGTCAAAGATGCTTCTTCTGGTATCTCATTTATTTGTAATCATATCGCTGAGTATGGTGGTGATCCGAACCGGTATTAATCTTGTCAATAATTCTTAAACATGGAAGTTCTCAGATTTTTTCTTCTGGCTCACTGATTTCTCTGATCTTTATTTTTGTCGTGTAGGATTTATCTGATGGGTCAGTCTGCTGGTGCACATATCGCGGCTTGCGTACTGGTAGACCAGGTCGTTAAAGAGTCAGGGGAGGGGGACAGTGTTTCTTGGAGTAGTTCACAGATAAATGCTTATTTTGGTCTCTCTGGAGGGTAAGCATTTCTTCTGATCCCAGAACAACAACAATACACTGCGATTGAGATATGTGTCAAGAAGTTGTTAAAAACAAGTTCCTTTAAGATAGTGGTAGCCAGTTCTTAAAACGCATAGCATAAGGTCAAATAATAGCTTAAAAATGCTTGTAGATTCCTGTCTTCTACCCAACTTTAGGCTTCACCATTTATTTTCGTTGGAAAAACTATGTGGTCATGATCTACAGGTACAATCTTTTGAGCCTTGTAGACCACTTCCATAGCAGGGGATTGTACCGTTCCATCTTTTTGAGGTATAATATCAGTTCTTGGTATAGCTTAAACTGCTCACCTGACCAGCCTAAAATTATACACTTTTAACATGTGACTTTGGTTTTTCCTCAGCATCATGGAAGGAGAGGAATCATTAAAACAGTTTTCTCCTGAACTAGTAGTGCAAGACCCAAATCTAAAACACATTGTTGCTCGTCTCCCACCTATTATCCTATTCCATGGTACTGCTGACTACTCCATCCCTTCAGATGCAAGGTATGGTTAAACTTCCGTAGCCTTTTGTGTACACATATGTCTGTCTCATGTATTTCAGGTGGTCGATATGATTTGACTTCTAATATGTTATTTTTGCAGTAAATGTTTTGCGGAAACACTCCAGAGGCTTGGAGGGAAAGCAGAAGTGATCCTTTACGAGGGGAAAACACACACGGACTTGTTTCTTCAGGTACAGTGGCCGTTTTTTTTTTGAGATCTCTGATTGTCTCAGTCGTACAAGAACCTGAATATTGAACTAGAAAGGTGGTTATCTGTGTTAGGATCCAATGAGAGGTGGAAAGGACGAGATGTTTGAAGACATAGTATCAGTGGTTATGGGAGACAATCAAGAAGTGATTGGTAAAAGCGTAGACAGAAGGCGTCTTGTGCCTGAATTCATGTTGAAGTTGGCTCACTGGGTCAGTCCGTTCTAACTCCCAAGAGAGCAGAGGAAGTAAGTTCCTTCTGTGTATAGTACTTAACAAGGAGACAGATCCATTATACTTGGAAGATACTGATGATTTTTGAATTTTGATCATGATGATGATATTGTATCCTATTTTGCAATACACATTGATTCTTTTGATCATTCACGGTTTATGTTATTTGTATAACAACAAGGAGTAGTGAAGAAACAAGTCTCGTTAAACTCTCTTGGCCTCTCATGATTCTCTGGAATAAGAGGATTAAAATAGTTCGTGATTATTATAATGCACTCAGTGACGTAAGATTCAACAGTTGGAAGTACATAATAGCAGTAAAAGCTAAGAAGCAGATGGATGAAACAGGGAGGAGTAGTTCAAACCACAAGCAAATTCAGACCTGAGAGCTCTTAACCAGTGTCTCATTCCAGCTGCAATACCGTTGATGGTGATGAGCAATGCATCTCTGAGCTTGAAGTTGTCAAGATCACATCTTAGCCTCTTGAGGATCTCAACCTGCAGCATGTTGATTGGATTCAGATACGGAAGTCTACTCTCAATCAGCTTCTTCAGTCTCTGATTGTTCTCCGAGAGCTTTTCATGGCCGCTTATCACAAGCACATACTTCTCAGTAGTCAGCAATTCCTTTCTGAGCTCACTACCAAGTCCTCTTCTGCTCTCTGAGACAAGCTGTTCATCGTAGTGTTTGGCTATTGGGATATCTGCCTAGGCCAAGACCATCTCGATTAGATCTATGGTTGACTGAAAGAAAGGCCATTCTTTGTACATTGCTTGGAGATCATCAGCGTGACCCTTCTCACAGACTCTTTTCAGACCAGCTCCTACGTCTAGCCAAGCTGGCAGGACAAACCTTGTTTGTGTCCAAGCGAAAACCCAAGGGATTGCGCGGAGATATCCAATACCAGTTGAGCTCTTCCTTCGTGTTGGTCGGCTTCCTATGTTGAGGAAACCGAGCTCGGCCTGAGGTGTTGCCTCTTGGAAGTAAGAGAGGAATTCAAGGTTTTCATAGACCGTGCTCGTGTAAAAGACTCAAGGCTACATACGTTTGAAGCCATGGAACTCACGTAAGCTCCAAGTCAGAGCCGGTCTTGGAGGGAAGCCAATGAAGCATGTGCTTCCGGCCGCCAAATATTATGGTTTTAAACGGCCACATTTGAACAGAAAGTTCTCAGTAACAAAGTGGTTGGCTTAAGGTTACATATGTTACAGGTCGTGAGTTCGAACTGGCCACATTTTTTATTTTAGCTTCTAGCCTCACAATTACTAGGACCGGCTCTGCTCCAAGTGATTCACTTCCTAACTCAGCAGCAACTCGGAAAGTGTGTAGTACTTCTTTCACTTCAGGACCGACCTGCAAAGGTTCAATAATCTCATAACTGAGATGGAAACATAACGTACATGAGATGATGAGAGTCCACTTTTTAATTACATACTGGCTTTCCTTGAAGTAAACGCAGAAACGTTTAGGTCATTGATTACTCCATTTCGTCTTACAGTAATTATAATTCATAACTTTCCTGAGACAGGTCTAACTTAAAAAGAATTCCACGGTGAGTGCTCGCTTATCTCAAAATTTGGGGGGAACAAGAGGACGTTTCCCTTTCAATTCCCTTGTCAAAAACTCGAGTTTCTTCTCTTCATCCCATTCACTATATGTGCCCATGTCCAAATATGTTATAATTGCATCCAAAGCCTTCAGAATGCTTTGCAGCTTCCTGATTAATTAGTCTTAGATCAGACAGAGATAACATAAAAGGAGCTAAAACAAGAAGGATTAAAAACCCACCTGTCGTAAATCAAGTTTCATCAAAACCATGCCGAAGGTAGCAACTCGACGGATAAGATCAGCAAGCCGGCCATCAGCTAGAACTCCAGCATCAGATGACTGCTGAGAAAAATAGTAATTTTCACTTAGAAAGGTAAAATATATCTAATGGGAACTCAATATGCATGGAGCAAGATCCTACCAGAGATTCATAACAGAGAAGTAGTGGTTCCAGAAGTTGGTCTGATGTTTCATAGTAATCCCAAGAATCATAATCACAAGGAAGACCCTCAAGAAGAAGTTCCAGAAGTCTCCGTGTCTTCAAAAGCTGTAATCACAGATCATTACGAGTGAGTCGTTTTAAGCGATACAGTTTATCATTATGGTTATAAATTTCTGATGTTGACAATATTTGCAAACGACTTAAGCAGTTGCTGAAGATAAACGCCTTTGGCGATATAAACATGAACGTTTTCACATTTTTTAACGATGCTATTAGCTTAATGAGAGAAAAAAGTATGGATCTGCACCTTTTCCTTTACTTCCCCAAGAATAATCCGATAAGGAGCAATTCCTGCTCGTGTAGGTGGAGTTAGTTCTAATAGCTTCTGAAAGCTGGTCTTTCCAATCTGAGAATCAGCAAGTAGTTTCTTCTGAAGGAGAAGTTGTGAACTCAAGGAGGAAGAACCTCGTGGAGTAATACTTTGCTGAGAACCACCGTTAGAGTTGACGGAATTTCCATTTCCTGTCTTTATTTGAAAATTTGGGTCATAGCCATCACTTGAAATGCTTTGAACTTCCTGTTTTAAGGAATAAAATCACTACAACTATAAGTACAGACAAACACAGCTAAAGTATTTTTAATATACATCTCTAATGCTTCACCTGGCGATTGAGTGGAATATAGTCTGTCACAGGAACTTCAAGCTTGGGATACTGTGATTCACCACAATCTACAGGTAGTATATCAAAAACTTGGTATTATCAGGCGAACGAACAAAGTCTGTATGCATGGTTGTAGTTCAGAAGCTTTTATAAGAAGAGGGAATACTACGCATGAAATCCTTTACCAACACATAAAGGAAGGTCAGCTCTAGGTGGAAGTTGAGTGGGTATTGATAAGCCCTGCTGCCTTGGAAATTTTGGTTGGCTTCTACCAACATTCGTACCCCAACTTTCAAATTCATCTTGGGCGGAAATATCCGAGGAATAAAAATAACAGCTTCAAGATTTGTGCTCTCAAGAATCAAGAAAAATCTGAGTCATGATGTAATACCCCTGATCAGAAGTCCCAAGTCAATGAAAGTCAACGACCCATGATCGACCAAGACTTGCCACGAGATGGTAATAGAAGTGACTACTAGAGGTTCGGTCGAAGCAATTTGGAGTTTGGTTGAGTAAAATCCAGAGTTGGTCGAATAGGCAGAACCGGAGCTTCGATATGGTCGTGGTCGAGCACAGTGAATTTTCAAAGACTTCAAATAAAGTAAGACTTGATCCTAAACCTCATTATAGGATATTATAAGACCTTTGGTCGAATCAGAATGAAGTTGGGTTGAGCCAAAGTGGAGATGATCGATGGAGGTTCAGAAACGGTCTATACGGAGGTTTAGCACCGGGTGATATTTTGGAAGTGTGTAAAGGTGAAGGTTCTTTGTCCAAGTATCTAAAGGAGGTTATTTTAAGACATATGGTCGAGCTAGAATCAAGTTGGTTTGGGAGGAATCAAGAGTTGGTCGCAGATCTAGCCGGAAGGACCCGGTGGAGCCGAAATAGGGATCTTCTTCACCCAAATGCTATTGGGTGAACTTGGAATGCATTTCTTTCTTTACCTATCATCAAATTGGGATTTTTAAGGATTTTTAAGAAGCTCCAAGAAAGTGGGAACCGAGCTGAGGTGTCGGGCTCCCATTGGTGCCGAAATGATGATGTGGAGGTTGCGTGGCGTCTTCTGATTGGTCAAGAGGTAAACTTGGTGGACAAGGTGGATTTCTTCTAGAATGGTACAGGTGTCAGCATGGGAAGTGGAGACTTGGTGACTAAGGAATGGAAAATATTAAAGAAATGTTAAGTGGGACACATGTCCATATTTTTGCATGCACAAAGTCCACATGTCCAGCCATCCTCAGCCCTCTTTTCCTATAAATACCAGACCCCTCCCATTCAGTTTCTTCACCCCAAAACCGAAAGCCACCTTAGAGAGAGAGAGTGGTGAGTTTAGAGAGAGNAAGTGGGACACATGTCCATATTTTTGCATGCACAAAGTCCACATGTCCAGCCATCCTCAGCCCTCTTTTCCTATAAATACCAGACCCCTCCCATTCAGTTTCTTCACCCCAAAACCGAAAGCCACCTTAGAGAGAGAGAGTGGTGAGTTTAGAGAGAGAAACCGTGAGTTTGGTGTTTCTCGGGTGAAGTTTAGTTAGCATTTTCGGGGAGTTTTCCAGAGGCTCTTTGCGTGTGTTATCCTTGACCTAGGAGGTGCTGTAGTGTTCTAGGAAGGGTGGTAAGAGCTTTGGTTGTGGTTTAGAATTCGTTTCTCCCTTTTACCCGTGAGCCCCATTTATAACCGGTTTTGGTGTTAACCTTAGGTCTTTGGCTTTTGGAGATCCTTGCGGTTTCTCAAGACCTTAGGTGGGTTCCCTTAGGGTGTGTGAGTGTTGTGTGTGACTAACCGTGTGTGGTTGCAGGTGGAGAGCTTGGGCCGTGAGGTTCCCGAGCCGGAACTAGCTTTGCGGTTCCATGTGTGTGTGCGTGGGGAGTTGGTAAACCCCATGCATGTGTTGTGTGTTTATGCTTAATTGCATTGTGAGTTAGGTTGATAGAATGGTGTGCTAAAACCGTGGTTAGGTTG